ACATATGATCAGCGATCTAAGTTCTCAAAACTTGCTAACCTTATTGGACGAATTCTTTCATGAACTTCTTAGTGCATTCTGCTTCCACCACGTTCCTCTGATTGGATTCTCCCTATCGTTGTTGTGGGGACCCTCTTCTTATTCACAACATGTTTTCACACTCACTACTCCTTAAAGAATGTTGAATCTAAAATATCTAAGAAACACGCCCAAGGTATATAACATTCTATAGAAAAGAGAGAGAGAGAGAGTGTGTGTGTGTGTGTGTGCGTCCCCTCGTTATTCATGATATGGATCGCTTATTTATAGGCATAGGCCTCAACATTACAAAAATACACATTAATCCCCTCACCATTAATTTGTCAAAAACTTTTTTGGTAACTTACAAAGATATTTCCTTATAATTGTTAGTTTTTTTAATGAAAATAATTATATACATACACACACACACACACACACACACACACACACACACACACACACACACACACACACACACACACACACACACACACACACACACACACACACACACACACACACACATATAATCTTGATTTTGAAAAAGAGAATTTTTTAAATTTTTAAAAATGAAACAGAAAATATCTCATATATTCAATGATTTAAATAATCGAGCACTATATTACGAGCAATACTTCCTCTTGAAAGAAGTGAATATCACTCGATAATAGTCTCAATTATTCAAACAAATAAATTTATGATATTTATTTGATCGGCGAAATTTCCAACATATCATTCATCTTCCTAACATTATAATTAAATAAGGTTTGTATTACATGTGTTATTATTTTTATTATAGGCACGAGCCTCTATAATTAATTACATCTTAAGCGGTTGAAATCACTTAAGAAAACTCTTGATTAAGATCAAGATTTCGTCTTCAAGAATTCAAAGTTTAATTTTCATGATTGCTTATAGAAAAATCAGCTAAGGAAGGCTCAAAGAGCAACAATTATTTTTAGAATTTAAAGAAGCGCAAGACGAGGAATGTCACAGATACTGGGAAGACCTCATTGACTTTCTAAAATATTATAGTGTTTGGCTTTAAATTTTTTAGAGTGACGTTATTTAATGTTTTACTCTTGCAATTTATTTAAGATTTAGGGCTTACATTGCATAGCATATGATCAACGCAGACAACCTAGAAACCTATGAGTATTTACTTTGTATTGAAGAAACAACTTCCAGATCCGAAAAAGAGTTAGGGTTTATGTCGCACGACATACAATCATACCAAAGCCTAAAAGATAGTGTGATGATTTACATCGTGCTAGATAAACAAACTCAAAGTCCTAGGAGTTTATGTTGATTAAGTCTATGGAATGTTTAGTTGAGGTTCATCCTTCGTTTCATGTTTTATCTTCTCTTGATCGCCTTGAAGGTTGACGGTTGCTCAATCACGTCATGCCTCCTTCCATGGAGAGAGAAGGGGAAAGGGAAACCATGTCTCAGGTGGCCTATCCTAGGTTCTTTATTTTATTGTTGTAATTTATTTAAATGAACTTTGTTGCGTGGTTTAAAGAATTGCTGAAAGTTTGTTGAGCGAGCGTGTTGGCATAGGATTTCAACCTAAGCATATGTCTTGCGTCTTCTGCTAAAATGCAGTAAATAAAAGAAGAATAACATTGTCGTACATCTAAACAGAACACATATAATTAAGTACAGTAAATGAGAAACTAGCATAACGTACATGCCGCTTCTAATGTTATTTTAAGAAAAGAAATTGAGGTTATGTGTTAATCGTGGAAATATATGAGAATTGAGCAAACTTCGAATGTCATAAAATTTAGATGTGAAGAATATTAAAACATAAGCATGCATGTTTATATAGAGTTAGGCGGTAGATATATGAAAATTAGAACTGGAAATAAGTATTTCTGAGTAAGGGATGGGCTCAGTATTAGGCCTTTTGCCATAATAATCTCATAGGCAACCAGAGCATTAATGTGCATAAACCAACTATGGGTCGAACCAACGAGCAATGCACTCAAGGAAGGACAACTCCAAAAAATAACAAAAATGACTAGCAAGTTTACATATAAAAGTAACACACAAAGTTCTCAATCATTATGCATATAAGTCAATTAAACTTTTGATTAGGGCTACCAGAAGCCTTAATTGATAAAAATTGGCACTACAGAAAAAAAAAAAATGTTTGCAATCAAATAGTCCACAAGTCATTCAAGTTATGGGCTAGAGCCACCAGCTACCCGAAAATGAAAGGGCAACTTTAAACTAGTTATTCGTAAATACCAACCTTAAACCCTCATAAATCATTAAGTTAAGAGACATAGTGTTAATTTATTTAGACGAATATAGTAAAAGATGCTTTACATCATTGCCCATATCGCTAACACTTCCAACTTATAAACCAGTTCAACGATTCTTATAAAACCGCCATATTTTTAATATCTCCAACCACAAAAAAAAGAAAAAAATCAAGAATGGCATTTAAACAATATATAGTGTCAGTAACCCCAGAGTTTGACATAGAACTCAAGCATTAGGTATTAGATGTTTGCACGGATCACACTTGAAACATTACTCTCTTCCATCTATTTTTCAAATTCTCACACAAATATCAAAATTCATGATAAATCCCCAACTAATATTTTTCACGCTTATCAAATTTTCAATGTTTTGATCATGGTATGCATAGACACAATGATTCAGTAGTTCGAAAATATCACATGGGTGCATGATAAATTCCAAAATTTCTTGTTAAATTACTCGGTATAAAGTTATCAAGTCAACCAACCCTCTAAGGTCAATATTTTCATTGAACCAAAGTAAATTCACAAGTAAGCTTCTGTGATTGGTAACTCGGCGCGGGGGGGAGTGAAACAGAGAACAAGTGCTCCCATTCAATTACGACCATGAGATCCAGGTTCTCAAACGCATTCTATAATTACATAAGGAACTCAATTTCATAGTCTAGGAGCATTCAAGTTATATAGCCGAAAAAAAATCATGTAAGAAAATTCATGCGAACACTCATTTCATTAAAGATCAAAAACATGTTTTAGAGTGCTACCTTCAAGGAATTTCGAGGGTTTAAAAGCACTAAAAGAATAACTTTGCTTTTGCCATGAATCAAAGCCCATTAAACAGTAAGCATTCAACTTTCTTCATCACAAACCAACATTATGCATATGAACATAATCAAGCTCGAATTAAAGTAGCAGAAGAAAAATAGGAAACGAAACAGAAGAATGGATAGGGGTTACGCTGCCAAAGTTCGTCAGAGAGGATGAGGAAGTGGCGATTTGCTGCTCACTATGTCAAATAGAGTGAGGGACAGAAAAAAAAACAAGATAATGAAAAGAGACAGACCGACCGGGCAAACCATCGCGTTGCTGCTCGAGTGAAATATGCGAGGGTTATTGAGGAGATAGGGCGGTGGGAAGGAGGAATCAAGACATTTTCGCCGTCGAGTGTGGAAGAAGGGGGAGACTTTTTAGCTGAGTGATGGCGGGGAAGTGTGGGAGCCAAGAACTTACAAAAATAGGCAACCCGTAGGTGAGCCGACGTGCGGTCGCATGAGGTGAAACAAGGGAAGCCATCGAGCGCAGAGGAGGAAGGACTTTTTCGAGCAGAAGGGATGGGAGGTCACCTCCATATCACGTGAGAGAGAAGTTTCGGCCAGTTAGGGCATCACACTAGTGAGAGGGCTACTCTGAGGGAGTGTTGTAAGGGTTTTAAAAGAATTTATTTATTTATTATCATTATTTTTTTTAAATGCAATAATTTGAGTGCAATCTGCTCTCGCTCTGAACTACACCAACGTGAGTGTCCTCCTTAAGTAAAATTGACATTCTGGACGCGTTTGCGCAGTCCGTTTCATCATTCGCAATCGTCTGGACAAATTTGTTGATGGACGGGTCAATTTAAGTCTGACTTGCGCGCGACACAGTGAATAATATGCGTCGATCCGATCGGAGTCAACTAACAAGTAAAGTGTCGACCGGCTTTCGGCAAAAGTCAAAATCTAGCAGAACGGTCCCGACAGCATGTCTCTCAACACACACCAATGGGTCTCAAATGGACATCACGAGGGTCCTCATTTATTCAGCTTTGATTTTGATTAGTTGACTGTATGTGAACAGTAGTGTGAATGTGATGTGAATTGTGATGTTTATGTGTGTTGTGTGAATTGTGGTGTTTTTAAAAAAAGGAAAAAAATGAAATTCCTAAGTTCAAAGAGTCTTCTTAAGGTGTTTTCCAATGCTTATGGGAACTCAACTTTAGTTCAATATGTTGGTTTCAATCGACTCAACTAAACATTGAAGATTTGAAACCACACATATGAGACTACAAGAAGTCAAGAAGTCCTATGACTATATCCTAGACTCTTTAGAGGGAAACATATATCACCAAAAATGAGGACAACAATAATAAAATTAGAAGACCGATTCGATCGACAGAAAGTTCACTAACCGCCTACTGAGTCTTAGCTCTGTTGAAATCTGATCCAAGGGGACACTGCTTGCCAATTATCCTGATGACCAATCACCGTCTTGTGAGATATCCCCTGGCACGCTCTACCGATAGTTCCATCAAGGCGCTCCCCTCGCCTGTGTCCAAAACAGACGGTCGACTACGAGTTACGTTAGATTGGTCATATCTTCTTCCCAAAGAGTCCATCTGTTTATAGATTCATGCTTGACATATTTCTCATATACAATGTTATCTTATCTAAACATTAAAAGATGTATTTCATTATCAACAGATAAAATAGTGGCATTTTTTTATATGATATTAGAGATTTGGGTAGTACAAATATAAAAAGTATAGATGTTGGATATATAAATACATAAATTAGATGGTATGTACATAAATGCCTCTAAGAAAAAAAAATTATAGTGGTAATTTTTATGTGATGTCGAATATTTGATTGTTGTGCACGTAAATATGAAAGGATAGGCGTTAGAAATGTAAATAAATAATAAGGTTATGGTGTGGCTGCATTAATAACTTACCATGGAGCACATAAAGCAAACTTCCCTTTGGAACGTAATCATACACTATAAGCTTCTCCTCCTTCCGGAAATTGTAAGCGAGCGGAGTTAGGACGTTGGGATGGTTAAGCCGTCCGAAACGCCTCATCTCGCCGTCAAACAACTCCTTGTTCAGTCGGCTCAGCTCTCGCATTCTCTTCACCACAACCGCGAAGCCGCCCGCCATAACTGCTTTGTAAGCCGAACCTAAGCTTCCATTGCCAAGAACCTCCGCTGCCGACTGCATCAAGTCCGGCAACGCAAATGCCGCCCTTTCGCTGTTCACCATTACCAGCACTGCTCCACTTCCTCCTCCTGTTACATATGAAAAAATATTAGGTCTAGTTCGATAGTTGGGCGTCAAGTGGGCCCCATAATTTTAACATGCCCATTTGACACATGTCGCCTCATTATTGGACTGAAGTCCTCTGGATGTAAAGGCAATTAGTAATTGATATGAAGGGATTTGATTATCTGCTTATCTGCTTATATATATCATGATGAATTTCATCCATTGAAGTTTCACGGTACTGTTTTTTAAGTTGAGGAGAAATTGATTGCATGTTTTTTAAATTATTTAAGTCCTGATTTTGGATCAATTTCTACTTTTTATTTTTTGGTTTCGAAAATAAAAATAAGAAAATGAATAAAAAACATAATGTTTAAACACTAAATGATATGTGAAAAATTAAAAGTTTAGAAAATGATGGTCTAGATCTATGTTGATTATAGAATACAATTATATGCCTATACGTGGCCACATAAATCCTACAAACTTTGGGTCATGAGGCATGCAACTTAGTTCTTATATATTTACATATCTAACCTTCTACACTTTTGCACATTAAAATATTTTATATTGTATTTTTTATAATAAAATTACATTTAATGATATTATCCATGATGCTGGATATTAAAAATAATCATATTAAGCCTTTAGAAATTTGGTCATAGAGATTATGCTTTAGAAAATTGGGTTAGAATATTCTATCAAATTTTAAATTAGTTGATTTTTGAATTTATTAAACAATCCATTATTTTTTTTAAATTAAAATAATCTCAATTCAATTTCAAGAATTTTATTATTCATTCAAGTTAACATTTAAATTTAATTCTTTTTGTTAAATTAAATGCACTATAAGATACTATTGTTTGAAAATAATCCCACAACTCTTACTTGCAATCATAAACATATAATTTGTTGTAAGAGCTCTATCTTTATGAAAATTATTTCATTCGATTAGCATGAATCATATAATGTAGTATATTCGATTATGTAAAGTGATTCATGTCATCGTCCACACGTCCAGATCCTAGACTTTCTCATATATATGCATGCATGTTATTTAAAAAATATTTCTCAATTGAACAAACCTCCACTAGCTTCAGCTACGCTGCCGGATCCCCGAGCCAACCCGTACCGCTTGTGCTCGTTCTTCTTCATCCCCGGGCTAGCCTCCGCCTTCTCCTTGCTCGACGCCCCGCCCACTGAATCCAAGTCACTAACTTTTCGCCGCCTTTTGACAGCCACAAACCCAATGGCCAACAATACCAAAACCAACACCACTCCAACCACAATGCCAACAACATGCCACCCCTTAACCCTGCCGTCAACCATGGCCCTCAACTCCGGCACCCCCGCAGGCGCCGGTGTAATCACTTTCTCTTCCGACGCCGGCGACGCCGCCGCCGCCGCTTCCGGACACGGACGACCGGACATCGGCTGCCCACATAACCCTTCATTGCCCTCAAACGCCGAAACACCAAACCTCGCCAAAGAAACCGGAATCGGTCCCCTCAACTCATTATTAGACGCATTGAAAGACCGCAAAAAAGGCAGCTTTAAATCCGGCATCTCCCCATTAAAACCATTGCCTTCAATGTGAAGCTCCAACAAACTCTTAACTTTCGATAAGGAGAAAGGAATGGGACCAGAGAAATCATTGTCGTTGATCCAGAGTTTCTTTAAATGATCCATAGGGGAAAAAAAGTTGGCAGGGATGGATCCGGAAAATCGATTGTGGGAAAGGTAAATTGATTTAAGAGCGTC